TTAAAGGTACACTAGTCAGGAATTGTTGGCTACTGTTTGAAATTAGCATTGCCAACGAAGGTGAAAGCCAACTCCAAATTCACGTTCCTTGGCTGTATTTGCCATTTTTCGGCACTGTCTATGATTTTCATAGCTTCCTCTTGGATGATTATGGTAAGACACCTGAGGCCTGCACTACAAAGCCAGTTTAACTTACCCAGGATTTATCTGGTTATCTGGTTTGACTAACCCTAACATTGGCCATATGGATAACCAGTACTACAAAGCTGGTTATCAACCAGTTCAGTCAACTCTGGGGTTTCCTGTCCAGCTATGAGTGCATTCATGTGAAAGAGGCGGGGGTGTTAATTACGATCAACATCATCAGAACCATGAATGAAGTAGACAACTTTATGTGAGATGAAACAGTACCAAAAGTGTTTGCCTCAACGAGATGAGAAAATGTTGATGGTGTGGGATGTTAACGATACTCTGTAATCTTATAATGTAAATGTAGAAATACTGAAAATACTATCTAAAAAGTAAAGGTCAGCTGAGTCTGTCCGTAGGCTATAGGCCTAGGTGACTTTAATATAGAGTGTTTTTTTGTTATTTAGTTGGAAGATGATGAAACTACTCTGAAAATGTGACATAAAACACTAATTTAATGCTCAACTGTTTCTGCTACTGAAGTAAAGGGTGGAAGAGTAGCCTCGTTAATGACTGATGACATCTGTATAACCACAATGTTTCATTTATAACAATGGGAACCAAATATTTGACTGATAAAATATTAGCTTTTTTCTTAGTTGTCATGATTGTCATGATGTGAGGTGTCTCACATTATTTTGAGCTGCAGTGGTGGAATCAGAGTGTAAAAGTAGCATCACTGTCAGCGATCAATGCCGACTAAAATAAACTTAGCATGAGTTAAAATCCTGCTAAAATCATGTGTTTAGTGTGTAAACAATCTCTCCATTTGTTAGAAGCTCTGTTAAAACAGTGGAAATAGAGCCCTGAAACAATGAAATGATTCTGCTGACCTGTAACAATATATAGGTTACTCTTTTTTACCTGAGTCGCCAGACTTTCGTCCATGGATACGTTTTTCTGCAGTGATCTGATTGGTCAGAGGTCGGGATGTTGACAGGCTGTGATCCCATACCCTGAAGTGAACTGCTCAAGAGCAGGTTAGCTGTTCAGCGTAAGTTGCCACAGTGAATTCCCGATAATGTCCCGACCACAAAGAGACCAAAGAAGAAAATAAGAAAATACAGGCAGAGGGCAGAGTCTCTGTAAATAAATACACCACCACACACCTCTAGAGGGTTGTAAAATATGCCTGAGAGGGATCACTTCTGTAGGAGGCTATGGATTTTTTTGGGATCATTCTGCATACTATGCCCTTAACATCTACTTGGCTGCATTGTGCATTAATTTACATACAGTAAGAATTTAATTCAAAGGGCAAAGGGCACACAAATTCTTAAATAAATAAATACATGGAAGCAAAAGCTCCTGCCAATATAAAACAGCTCCATTTTCTCCAACTCCCCATTATCATGCAAATGACATTGCTGGTTACAACTGTATGTCTTTGTAGTGGTAAAGTGTTAATTTCAGTTCAAAGGCTGTGGCAGTATTCTACAGAGAGAGAGATGGAGGGTAAGATGGAGATGGAGGGGGAGAGGAGGGGAGAGGAGAGGAGAGGAGAGGAGGGGATGCTGAGTGGTTTAGCCTGGCTCAGCCTAGCTCTGACCCGGCTCTTTGTGTTTCTATTGTCTCCCTGGCAAAACAGAATTAGAGAGTCGTCTGCACAAGGCTAGGTGTGCCCTTAAAATCAAAAAGCAGGCAGACAGTGCTGCTATAGGTTTGAAAATGTCAGCTCCTGGCTTTACCTACTTACTTGTTCCTGAGGAGTCAGTCGAGTGTTTTTTTTTTTTTTTTTGTCTGTTCAGTGACAGCACACGGCGGCTAGAGGAAGGAAGTGCGAGTTATGACACAGCGTCTTGGTTACTGAGATTCAGAACTGCTTTAATGACAAGATGTTAAACAACACCGACACTGACAAAAATCACCAAAGTCATCTTTATAGTTTTAGGAGCAGCTCTGAGAGTCGGAGGGGAACAAGATGAACTCAAGATCCTGGTCAACGGGAGAAATGAGTCACACGGACATTTACAGACAGACACAAACAGATATTCGTGTGGACGGACAATTCAACATAGCTTTTTTCACACCAAGCCCTCCAGCTCCGTCTCAACCACAGGGGGACACATCCTGCACGACACATGCACACAAACACATCCATGTATGTATGGCTGCAGCCCCTGTGACTTCCACAAATAAAGGGGGGCATTGTCATTTCTTTGCGAGCACAAACACCATTAAAACGGTCGACAGCACTGATGGGGGTGAAAGAAAAAGCAGATAAAGGGCCGAGGAGAGAAAGAAAGCCATTCTGCTAGGACTGGTGCCGTGTACAAACGGAGAACATGGCTCCTCTTCTAACAGCCGTACACTGGAGCGTGTGTGTCTTTTTATCAAGGGGGGCGTCCACCATACGTGCAGCAGCGCGCTTTTTCTGTGTGCGCTGAATCAAACAGTAGAAGATTCATTGTAGTTCTCAAACAGTGCCATTGTGGGTTTTTCTTGGGTAGCTGTTGTTGCAGAGGCCTCCTTTAATACGTGTGTGTTTGTGTGTGGTGGTGGTGGGGGGGGGGGTGGCAGCATCACGGACACTCCTGAAGATGAAGCGCCCACCCTCCCGTCGTGATCCCACCGCTGGAGCTGTTTATCCCATTTAAGGCCCGCCCTTCGCCAGGGGACAGACAGCTCAAACGACGCTTGTCACAATCCCTTGTCGTCTTAAATGGCTGACAAACATCAGGCTTTTTGTAATGGTGGTGCATCACAGAGGTTCCTTGTTGAGGAACCTGCTTTTTTTTTTTTTACTTTTATGTAAAGCTACTAGAAAGGACCAGGGGAGGAACGGGGTATAAGGGACGTTAACGAGACAGACTGACGCAACATGGAGGTGTAAAAGATAATTCCTCTGGAAAATCATTTCCGCTGATGAAATAAGAGACCATTGCTATATGATCATTCGTGTTATCATTACCGTATCAAGCGAGGCACAGCAGAGCGAAGATCTGAATGTGATTTGAGTGGTAATGTTTGAGCTCTCGCAGGACGGCCATGCCGAGGACGTGGTTGGTGTAGAGAATGATCAGGGACACCCAAAGACTCGATCCTCTCCCTGGCAAACAGGAGAAGGCAGGGAGAGCTTCAAAATCACTTTTCAGACATCAAATAATTAATTTCTCTCCCCTCCCGCTCCCCCCCAACCTCGTTTCTCTCCTGGTGTCTGTATGGAAGACACAGCTCCAGTCACTTAAGGAGGGTTAACACCCGTCTAAATTAAATATTAAAAGGTGTCTGTACCTGCTGCTATTGTTGCCCCTTGGAATAAGATATAACCTATTTTTGACAAGTTTTCATCCTCAGCCTTCTGCGGTGAGACGCTTGTCGAAAACCAAATCAGCGGACAGGGGGGAGTGGTAGAAGGGCGTGGGGGGCATTGATGAATAATCTAGTTCATATTCCAATGACACCCGCCGCTCAGAGGGAGAGAAAGAAAGGGATGAAGAGAGGGAGAGAGAGAGAGAGAGACGGGCAGGTGGAGAAAGAGATAGATGGATGGACGGAGGAGGGGAAGATAAAAGCTGAGGGGGGAAAGCGAGGGATGAGCAGAGAGGATAAAAGGAGGAAAAGAGGGGAAAAAAGGGAGGAGTGGCAGATGATAGCCGACGTCTGCCAAGGTATCACATGACAGTGCTCCTGTTTAAATAATAAAACAGGACGGGGGCTCTAAACAAATCGTTATCTTCCCACCTCCATACATCCTGCCTTCCCTCTGCCCCTCCCTCCATTTCCCCGCTTTTAAAAACTTGTTTTAATGCCATTTCTTAATGAACATAATAGCTCGGCGCTAATAATGAAAAGAAAATAAAAACATCTAAAAACGCGGAGGGGCCCCTGAGTTGTCGCCGGCGCTCAATTATTTCCTTGTCAAGTGGGTCTGTTTTTAATGAGGCCCTGTGGGACTGACGTCTGTCAGTCAGCCCTGACTTTTTGACACCATTACAACTTCAAATAGAAGCCGCCGCCACGCTGCCTTCCACCGCTCACTCGCTAGCTACTGCACCGCTCATCTGACAGGCTGGGAGGGAGGGAGAGAGGGGAGGGAGGGGAGGACAGGGGGGAGGAGAAAAGGTGGCAGGAGAGGTAGAGAGAAGTGGGGGGAGCAGGAGGGATGAGGAGGGAGAGAAAGACAGAGATAGAAGGAGAGAGGAGGAGAAGAGAGCACATCGGCACGTAGGTAGGCTGCACACACACACACACACACACACACACTGAGCACTGGGTGAAAAAACAATCACTGAGGGTCATTACCAGATGAGGTTTGTCAAACTGCTAGGGAATCCACCCCCACCCTCACCCCCTACCTCCATGCTTCCTTGTTCACTTCCTTCCTTCTCCCTCCTCTCTGCTTCCTTCCTTTTTTCATTATTCCTTCACTTTAATGATAAGTCTTGGTGGGTCGGCCCCGCATGGGACGGTCAGAGGCACACTATTTTGTTGGCCATTAATTTGAGGCTTTGAAGCAGACGGCGGCGCTGCAGCTAGTGAGGGCCTGTGAAATGGTGGCTGGTAGGAGGGGGCGTTGGGGGGGCTCAGCACCCCGACACCCCCGCATCGTCGAAAATGAAGACCGTGGCCCTGAAACAGAATAGCAAATGTCCTCGCCAGGAACCACCACACCGACCACAGGAGACACAAGCACACTGCAACACTCCCGTGTGTGTGTATGTGTGTGTGTGTTTGTGGCTTGCACAGCGTTACCTTCATGCATCTCAATTTCTGAAAATTCTCCAAATGTGCTCTTAAATTTAGATTTCTCCGAGACCCCCTGAAGAATGGCTTTCCCCTGAAGAATTAAACAGCAGTAAACTCACGCACATGTTTCTCTTTTTCTTTTTTTCAAACACCTGCAAATGTATCACAACATAAGTCAGCGTACAGATAAACACAGAAACAAGGACTGTGTCACAGTCTTCAGAACTTGACAAGAAAAAAAATATAGAACAAAAAAGTGCCAGTTCTAAAACAACTTAGATCCATTTATAAGAACAGAAGAAGAAGAAAAAACATTTATAAGACACGAAACTTGAAATCCACACATTTCAGTTGGTCCTGGTGTGCACTCTGCGTTTTATAGACTAATCACCGAACACTCGAAAAATCAAGATAAAATGCTGTTAATGTTTCTGAATACTTTTTTATAAAATATACAGTCCTAACACGGTTAATTGAAAACTCATCTGCATTTATAAATAAATAGTAATAACAGAATCACTTGTATTGAGAGCAAAACACTATACATGATGTAGATTTAAATGTTAGTACATACAGTATGACGCCTAGAAGTTCCCACAATGACAGATGCATTAAAAAGTCTGCGGAAATGAGTTGTGAAAACTGTGTTTGGGAGGTGCGGGGGGATTGTACCACTATTAAAGCCAGGGGATAATGCGTGAAGAACCATTTCTCTGCAGTGTAGTTATGTATTGTATGCTCTAAGGTTGGGGCCAGCTCCCTTTTTGGAGTAAAACATATTTAAATAGTTGCTTTAATTCATTTTTAGAATCTCAAACTTTTTTGAAATGTACATGTATACTTTACGGATCACTGTAATTGAAAACAAACAAACCTTTTCACCTTGATTGACTGAACTGAAGCTGAACTGACCTCAACCTGTTTTTTTTTTTTTTGTGATGTGCATCCTCTCTTTTCAAGGCAGCGCCACTTGTCTATTTTTGGGCTCTGCTGAGCTTTTTAAAGGAGGAGTGTGAACAGCATATCTTATCTGAAGGCACTGTCCTCTGTGCTTTGTCGGGGCTACATGAAGAACAGCTGAATCATTTAGTTACAGAAGCTCATACATACTACAGCGTGTGTTTGTGTGTCTACGGTTGGTGTTAATAACAAACACAATTGTTCCCCCAAATCCATGACTGTCACTCATGCACATGCGAGCATACCTATGTGTGCATTCTTTTTACTTTCTCTCTGTCTCTCATGCACACACATCCTGGATAACACTTGACCCCACCTCCGTCACAAGAAAAAAAATAATCTACATATCTGAATCTGCTTTGAGTTACAAAAAAAACTCCCAGGCCTTGTTCACCTGGGGACAGGATGGGCTGCAGAACCACGCCGACGACGACACCATGAAAAATATTAACTATCATAAAAACATCTCCCCCCCCTTACTCTTGTCCCTGGAGATGTATGAGAGAGCCTGACAGAGAGAGGAGAAAAGAAAGGAGAAGAAAGGGAAGAGCAAAGAAGGTAGAGAGGGACAGAAAAGAGGAAAAGGAGAAAGAGATGGAAAAAAAAAGCTCCCTGTCAGGCTTTGGAAACAGTGATTCATGGGGACCATTTGTCCTAATTACAGCAGAACAACGCTTTTGTCGCTATTAATCACGCGTGTGTGTGTTTGTATTTGTGTCAGGGGAGGAGTGAGGGTTCGTGTGCGCGTGTATGTGTGCAGAGGGGAGATCAGTGGCCCCTCAGATTGAAATAGATGGCCAGGATGATGGTGAGGAGGATGATGGCTCCGAGGATGAAGACCAGGACGCGATTCTGGATGATCCTGCAGAGAAAGAGAGGTGGAGAAAGACACAGAGGGAGAAAGGGATCAGGCAGAGTTCACAGAAGTCATATTGTGTCTACAGAGAACACGTAAAACAGTCACATGTTTATGTGCAAACTAAATGACCGGCCATCAACTGGAGGCTTATCATGTTTAATAGCTACCATGAGGTCTGCGTACAGGGTATTTACTGGTATACAAGCACTGGCATGGGAGTGTAACACACACACACACACACACACACACACACACACACACGTAATGCTTCCAAAACTGCAACACTTTTGTGTCTAGAACGTCTGACAAATTATTTCTGACTGGCACACACACTCGTAGCCTCTTTAAAAATCTCACGCTGACGTGTGTACACACTCGTGCGAACATACAAAAACACTCACAAACAAGCGCGACACACAAACACACACACAGGCTCTAAAACTTTATTTGCACAATAAAGTGGAAAAAGTGGCTCAGTAGTCTCCTGGAGGTAATAAAATCACTGAATTACTGATGGAATTCGCCATAAAACGACTCACTCTTTTACACATTTAAATTCTCCCACTGTGACCTAAGTAAACTTGACAAGAGGGGGCTTTGAACCAAAAAAACACAAAGCTGGGAAAAGAAGGTCTGCAGAGAGAGAGGGAAAGAGACGGAGGAGTGGGTGCTGGTGTGCAGGGATCAACTCGTCTCAAACTCCAGAGTTTGCATCACCACACATGCACGGACAAACACACACACAAAGTCCGAACCCTCCGCTGCTCCTGACAAATGAGAGAATTATCACATTTGCTGACATGTGGAGGGGGTGGAGGAGAGGCCGAGGAGGTGTGTGTGTGTGTGTGTGTGTGTGTGTGTGTGTGTGGGGGGGGTCACTGTCCACTTCTCTAAGCAGGAGATGAATAGCCCATGCTGTGGCCATTTATCACCGGGGAGGGAGGGGGGGCTGGCTGGTTGTTCAGTCACCCTGCTACCCTCTAAAGCCCAAGTCTGAGCTCGGCACACCGGTTGAGCTCACACAGCCTCCCCTCGGCCCACCGGCTCGGACCTGCGGCAGCCTCTACACTTAGTTTCAAACCCACAGCTGTGGAAGAAAGCACGACAAAAAATGTATCACAGCGGTGCTTTTATGCTTAAGTCTTTCCTTTGTGTGCGCCCTTAGCAGAGAAGTGTCTACTCCTCTGCACAAAGGACTCTCCAGCCACATCCAAAAATCCTATCACCAATCACTTGTAACACACCATGAGCGTCTTTTCAGGGGCAAGACACTATGCCTTCTCGTGCTCTCACTGGATAACACCAGAGAGCTCATTGCAACTACTGTTTGTAAGTAGCACTGCTTTATAAGTAGACAGTTTATCCTTGAATAAATGCATACATTATCATAAAAGTGTCACGCTGTATACAGTAAAGCATGTCTTTGTGCACCACAAGTAACAGTTATGGTATATTTTTATATCACGCTCCTGTCTTAAATCATACTGAGCTTGCACACGACACAAAAAACAAGGAAATAGTACTAAAACATCAAACTGCATATGTCATGTGCCCACATGTCTATGTTGTGTTAAGAGTTGGGGATGCTATTATGAAGCAGAGATGATTGGCTGAAGCCAGCTGGGGAGGAGATCCCACTGAAACCCTAATCAGAGCATGCTTAGCAAGGCCACGTCTCCCCCTATTAATTGACATTCATTATTTACAATGATTATTTATCCAAGCCAAATACCCAGAGGAGGTGCTTGTGTGTAAGTGTGTGCGAGTGTGTTGGGAGAATCCAGATCGCTCTGTGTTGTTTGTTACTTTTTCAGCTGGGGAAAAGAGGGGAGGGTGACTCGAGGTCTGGGGGTGGAAAAATGAACAGGAAGTTGGTTTTAGCCTCGTGGATGAGGAGAGAAATGGGGGGTTCAATTATGTAAAAAAAAAGAAAGAAATTGCATTCATTAAAAGGAGTCTGATTTGGTGGCAAACAACGCTGAAGAACTTCAAACACTCAAGCGTTCAAAGCGGTAAGAAATATGACAGAGCTGTGATTTAAGAACTTTTTCTCAGGGGACAGATATTCTAAAAAATACTTTGTTTGACCTAAACTGATTCTCTGTACAGCAATCTAACAAAACGCGTCTTGAAGTCTAATGTAAAGTAGCTGATCTTATTTGCAGCGACTCAAACCCTTAAACAGAAGCTTGATGCAAATGTAGCGCTGCCCAATCAAAAAACTTTTAAGGTTAAATTCAAGTATGGCTTTCACTTTTCTAGCTGTGCGTTTCAATCCACTGTGAGCGACGAAACGTCAAGGCTAAAGCAGTAATCATATCCTCACACATCGCTCCTCTAATGTTTGTAATCAATCAAGTGAAACTACAAGATCTTGTGAAGGTTATTAGGGCGGCCCTGAGAGCTCAACGCACTTCAGACTAATGAAACACATGCAAATAGACAAGAGCAAATTAAGAGACGACTTCAACAACTTGACGACACATAAAAATGTCAATTTGACTATACATGCACAGAATTTAGAAAAACTCCTGCAAGAAGCTCACAACACCTTGGAAACTGTTTCTAGTTAACAGTTAAACATGTCCTGCCATACTGTTCTGTGATTGGCCTGTGCTAGGGTCAGTTTTTGATAGCCAAACATCCATTAACAGTACAATACAAGAGGCCTTTCCTTTTAGTCTGGCTCTCTATGACTCAGTATTTTGAAGCGCTATCCATTTAGAGGCCTTGATATTTTAATGTTTCATGAGGTAAATGTCCTGCCTTTTATTTTATCTTGTGTTTGTTTTGCTTTGACAGCTGACTAGTGGAGTTAACGTGCCAAAACATGGAGCCCACACTCCGAACCACTGGTTAACTAGCCTCCGTTGCTGTTCTGCACCATGCACCACCTGGGACAGACGGAAGCTAGCTAAGGGCAGTAGCTAGCTAATAACACTGCTTATTTGGCAAGTATCATTTGTAGCGCTGTCCTGACCCATGGTGGCAGGATGGCATTGCTGCAGAAACATGGTGCCGGTCCCCTGGTTTACGCTGGTTTTCGCCATTAGTGAGTAACTTAATTTTGAGCTGCAAAAATACCTTCAGCATTGTTAGCTATGTTAACACCCTCACCGTGCTGACACCGCTAACGGTGCTAACATGCTAACAGTGCATAACCTGTCAAAAATATTCTCGCAGGTTAAACGATTAACAGTTAACAGTTGACATACCTAACTAGTACCAGTGTTGGGCTTGTTACTCAAAAAATGGAATATATTACTCATTATTCGTTACTCAAAAGTAATGATGTTACTTTTCTTACTACTCCCTGCCAACAATACTTAGTTACCCTACTCATTATATTACTTTTCTGTTACACCACATAAAATTGGTATTTGCGTATCTCCCAAAAGTTCAGATGTGTGCCTCTATGTCAGTGTCAGGGTAATCACCGTTAAGTGTAGCTAATGTCAGTTAGCTTCTATTTACCTGGTGGTTTCTGTAGTCTGTGACCAGTATTTTCCCAGGGCTCTGACTAAAGGATGGAGAGTCACTTAACTTAACAACATATCCAGCCTCAAGCTTCATCACATCTTTGTAGCCTGCGGCGGGACACGAGTAAATCCAGTTTTGGTTGTTTAGCCAGTGTAGCTCTACAGATGACCTTCGCGGCAGAGGAGGGCTCACCTTTGGTGGGGTGTATTTCCTGGAGCTTCACATTTTTGTGCTATTGGTTGCAGTAGCTGAGGTGTTTCAGACCGGAGGTTTGTGGACGTGTTCTTTGCAGTGGGAAAATTTTTAGTCCGACTACCTGCAGCAACAGTGTTCTTGTCATCTTTCCTCCCGACAAAATCAAAGAGATGGGAATATTTCCAGCCGCTAAGGTTAGCATTTCCAACTGTTTTTGTGGCATGCCTGCGCAGCGCAACGAACACTAAAACAAGTCAGCTGATTTGATTGTTGTATTTCAAATCAGTAATGATGTGATATTCAAAGTAATATTGTAAGGAGTTGTTGTATAAAAATATTACTGAAATTTTATGAGCTATTAGTTACACTACTCATTACTGAAAAAGTAATATTATTACTGTAACACTGACTAGTACTAATCCTAACCATGACCTCTTTGCCCCAACACTAACCGCATTCACCCTCATGGTGTTGAAGTGAGGCAAAACACACTCAGGAAAAAAAAAACTGTGTGGCTCATGCGGTACTTGTTGTTGTTTGTAGATTTTGAAGTTAGTGAAGTCAGCTCCAGCCAGACAGACTGGGAGGAGTCACATGAAGCAGGGGAGGGCCCATATCATAATTCACCTGAAAATCTATCTAAGAAATAGTGTGTGTGACACTGCAGTCTTTTCCTCTGACAGCCTGTGGAGCGAGGATATTAATGTCATCACTCTTCTTTAACCACCTGTGTGGTGGTGAGAAAGCTGGAAAGTCACTACTTATGTTACATTTCTACCAGGGCAGGAAATTGCTCTTTTTCTATTACAATCACACAAAGTGAATCAATACTTGGTGTACGACAGAAAAACAAAGTTATGTTGCTCGTCGCACATTTAATCTTTTTCCATTTGGTCACTCGTAACAACTGATGTCTATGAAAAGAAGAAAGGAATTCCCAGGGGACAGATCATTTTCCTAATCCTCTGGACAACTCATCTGCATGCTGTCACTTGTAGATCTAATCTACAGATTTATGTTCTGTATCCAGCAAAGCACTTTACGATGAGCTCACTCGTCAAATGAGCTTCTATGGTAAGAGTCATTTATATTTCCGTTTCACTTCTTCAAGCAACAGAAGCAGCTCGAGTAAAACATACACCACAAATACAAAAAAAAAATAAAAACCCGCCCCCCCTTCAAAACGCCCCAAAAATGAAATAAAATCCCCAAAAATTGGGAGGTAGGAGAGTGAAGAACATGGTTTTCCTCTGCTGTATGGTTGATCCCATCCTGACACGTGGCCAGACAGAACAGAACTTATCAAACCGGATCCATCCTCCAGCTTT